GACTCTGTAATGAAAATTACAAATGTAAATATTTATTTAACGACAAACTACGCAGACAATGTTGCCGACAACAAGTTGGTAAACAATACAGCGAAAGCAACAACAAAAACATAATAGATAGATTGCCATTCTCATGCTTGGTGGGTGTCTCTAACATTTCTGGTTTGGTGGCAGTAGGGGCGGGCGTACATACATACATGCAAATTAGGAATGTTAATTCTATATTGATTTTTGTGTGTAAAATTTACTATGCACGGTGTTATATGTACATATAAAGGGCTAGAGACATTTATAAAAATTTATAAAAAAATATTAATTATTAAATTTAAAAAAAAAAGAAATATAGCCAACACTGGTCAAGAAGAGGAGTTTCTATTATTGCCATCAGCGCAAATTACATCTCCCGAAAATTCCGGGATCGTAAAAAGCGAAAAAAAAACTAACATCCCTAATGCAAATGTATGCATGTAAGTACATAACTTAGCACTCGATTGGAAAACACTGTTCAGCTGGACAGAAGTGGGGTTTAGATGGTCTCCGACTTGTTTACAATGCGCGCGCCTATTTCTCATAATCGTTGTATTATTACTTATTTGTAGTTGGTGTTGTCGATGTCGCCTACGTCGCTGTTGCTGATGTGATAACAGCACCCAATTGGCAATAACAAGTGCACGAAAAAGCGTAAGAAAAGTTCGCAAATGCCATCACTTCTAAAGTTACCGGAAGATACATAAGTACCTATGTACATTAGGGTGCGCATCGAAAAAGCTTTTTCTGGAAATTTCAAGACCCTACCCCCTAACTCTATTCGTTTTTATGAGAAATATTATTGCCTATTTTTATAGATTTCTTAAAGGTCATTTAGAGGTCGCGACGTGTCGTTCTTGGACAGAAAATAGGATTTTATTGATTTATGAGTTTTTGAATGCCTATTTTTGATTCCATTTCAAAGATTGAATATGATCTGAGCAGAGGATATATCGCTAGCTTAGAAAGAAAAGTCCCATTTTAAAAATTTTACAGGAGAGGAAAAAATCTTTCTATAGCCATTTTCTTTAACTATTTCGCAAGACTTTGAATCAAGCATCTTGCGCGTTTAAAGCAAAGCAAAACTCCATAAGAATCAGAAGGATTCGATATTTATTAAAAGTTGTCGTATTATTTTGGCCTTATCGGATTTGTGGTGCTTCTTTTGGACTTAGCAAATTTTCCTTTTATTGCTTATGAGGAGGAAAAAATAAAACAAGTACCTTTATAATTTTCGAAACGATGCGTATTCAATTTCTCTAGCCTCCTATATCAAAATATGAGTTTTCATAAAAAGTGGACTTAGCAACTTTTCACTCTAAGCTAGCGATATAGGCCTTTAAAATGGTATATAAAAATCTATTGTTGCACTAGGCTTGTTGGGCTTTTTGATCGGGTAAATTAAAAAAAGACTCCTATTAAAAAATCTATAAATTCTAAAAACGAATAAAATTAGGGGGTAGGATCTTGAAATTTCCAAAAAAAGCATTTTCGATGGGAACCCTAATGCACATTAGGGTGGCAAAAAAAAAAAGATTAAAATGCTAAGCTATCACCCCCTAGGATTTTTCTAAATATAAAAAAGGAACCCCCGCATTTTTTTGTTAAAAAATATATATGTATATTTAGAACTGCCTCAAAGCAGATGAAGTTTTTCATGCATTTTATATGGGGAAAAAGCGCTTTAGCGCGGTATAGAATAAAAGTCAATATTTTTCGGTCGGAAAACTTTATTTCTCTGCAGA